GGTGTGGAGGTGGCTTTGGCCGAAGCAAGCGGCCAGCGTAGCAGTCCCCTGTTGAGGGTGGCTAGGACCCCCGCCGCTGCTTCACCCCTTTGTCCCCTTTCCGTTCTCTTCTGAGGACCCGTCGCCCCTGGCGTCGCAACCTTGCTGGTGGCCGCCGGGGGATTGCGGGATTCCCTTGGGCACACACAAGGCCCTCCAGCCAAATGTACCTCCCCACCCCCGCCCCGGTTGGGCTCTGGCCACGGAATTGCAAGTACGACCCTTGCCCTGTCGTTCCGTTTACCCCGCACGATGACCCCGACCCTAGACATTGTTGGAGGTAGAATATTTGCACTTAAAGAGTAATGGCGATTTGGGGTCTCTTCTTCCCAGGAGCTTTATATAATGAGAGAAACTGAGACACAGGCGGTGCTTGAAGTGTTGACACAGCCTGGTCTCCTTATCTGCTCTGTGCACTCTTCAGGGTTCAGGGGTATCACTTGGGTGCTGTCAAAATAAAAACAAGAATGTAAACCAAGGCTGTGTTCACCCCTCACCTCCCAAGGGTTGGTTCGTTGTTTTTGTTTTTGTTTTCCATCTTACCATAGAAGGTCATGAGTTTGCAGCAAAAAGGATGACTTTTTGGTGGAGGGGAAAAAAGGCATCTTCTGGGTTTCCTTACCAGTGTTACTATGTTTTTCTGCTTCTCATTTTCATGCTAACCAAGTTCTTTATGCACCACTGTGCTAATTCCTAAGAGTCTGTACTTTGCTCCAGCCATGGGTATCAGACTTTTCCCATTTGTGTGGAGGGAACGCATTGAGGGAGTGAAAAAATAATATTGGAGTTGCCGATATCGATTGCTGCTTCTTGCAATTACTTCCAAAAAAACTTTATTTAAGTTAATGGAGAATGCTTTAGATGGAGCGGCCATAAAGTGATTTAAAAACATAAAATATTGATGCTAGGCCTAAAACATCTTTTGTGATAGTAGACAAGATAGGTGTGTGTACCATTTGTAAGACTCTCACAAATTATGATCTATTTTAAATGACTGCATTTCTTAAAAATAAATAAAAACTTTGTATGAACTCCTAGATATTTATGTAAATAAAGTGACTCCTGAAGATTGATGTCCACTGGGACCTATTGCATGCTGTGACCCTTTTAATACCCTACTGCAGAATAGTGTTAAATATTTTCTCCTGGAGCCCAAGATTTTCCTTGTGTGTATTTCTTGGAGCAACTGTTGAGTGGGTATTCTGAGGGGGAAAGATACATTCATTTTAAACTTTTGAAACTTGTAGCCTGTAATTTGTTTCTGAATGTGCAGAGCGCGATGGCAGCATCTGAGGTGGCTGGTGTTATGGCCAATGCCTCCAATCCTCCGGAATCCTCTTCTAGTTTATGTGCTTCCAAATCAGAAGAAAGTCTCCCAGATGGTCTAAGGTAATGTCTGCATTCTTGACAGGGAAGGTTCAATTGGGTAAAGGACTTTTGAGATGGACTTCTGTAGCTGGTCTTTCCTCTTGAGCTCTAATGACACTGCAGTAGATTAAACTTTCTAAAGGTAAGGGCTGCCTGATCTGTCTGTATTTTTGGTATCCAACAAAGTATTTTACACTCAGTAGGCATGCTAAATGTTTGTTGAATAAATAGGTTAGAATACATGCATTAATTCATAAAAAAATGTAAATATTTCCCCTCTCTGCCCTATATAAATTGTATGTATTCATTTAAACTTATGTTTATATATCATACTCATTTATAAAATACTTTGTTATGTAGATAGATACAGATATACACAGAGACACATTCACATATATATGTACTTATACAAATGCAGATATGTCTGTGTATCTGCCTATCTAGATATCTTGGTTAATATTGCCTAGTACTTCATATGCACATTTTGCCTCCCATCCATACTCTCAAGGGTAAGAATTGCAATTACCAGTCTTGCATCAGTGGTTAATACTTAGTTATGTGCCATGTTGAATTAAGTTGATTAAAGTACCTGGGACTTAACATAATAATATCATCCTAACAACTTTTTTTTTGGTGCTGGGGATGAAGTCAGGGCCTTGTTCATGTGGTGCAAGCACTCTACCAACTGAGCTATATCCCCAGCCCCTAACAACTTTGTACATATTAAACATTTAATCTTCATATTAGTCCTAGGTGGTAGGTGCTAATATTATTGCTTCCACTTATAGTTGAAGAAACTAAGACACAGAGAGGTTAGTAACTTGCCCAAGGTTATCAAGCCATGTTGGAGTCAGGGTTTAAACCAAGGTTTGTCTGACTCCAGATAACTTAAAAATTCGTTTCAAATAAGAGATGTGTTGCTAGGTGCAGTGGTACACATCTATAATCCCAGTGACATGAGATGCTGAGGATTGCAAGGTCCAGGCTAGCTTCAGCAACTTAATGAGACTCTGTCTCAAAATAAAAAATAAGCAAGGCATAGTGATGCATGCTTATAATTTCAGTGACTCAGGAGGCTGACGGAGGAGGATCTCAAGTTTGACCGCCAGCCTCAGCAATTTAGTAAGGCCCTAAGCAACTTAGCAAGATCCTGTCTCAAAATAATGAAAATAAGAAATAAAAAAAGGCTGGGAAGCCGTTTGTGGTGCACATGCCTGTAATCCCAGCGGCTCAGGAGACTGAGGTAGGAAGATCGAAAGTTAAAAGTGAGGCACTAAGCAACTCAGTGAGCCCTTGTCTCTAAAAAATAAAATACAAAATAGGACTGGGGATGTAGCTCAGTGGTCAAGTGTGTCTAAGTTCAATCTCCAGTACCAAAAAAAAAAAGGCTGGAGATGTAGCTTTGTGGTAAAATGTGTTAAATTCCCAGTACCAAAAAAAAAAAGGCTGGAGATGTAGCTTTGTGGTAAAATGTGTTAAATTCCCAGTACCAAAAAAAAAAAAAAAAGAGATGCTTGTTAGTGAATGGGTCATGAGGGAAAAATGTTACATAAACCTAATCATAAACTTGGATCTTTAAGTGTTTATTCATTTGTATAAATAAAATCAACCACATACTACTATTAATAATAATAGCAGCTAAGGGTTATTAAGTGTTTACTATACGCTGGCCACTCTGTAATAAATACATATATATATATATATATCATGGAATTCTTATACTATGACACAACATTTTTGTTGGTATGTGGTGCTGAGGATCGAACCCGGGCCGCACGCATGCCAGATGAGCGCGCTACTGCCTGAGCCACATTCCCAGCCCCAGCCACATTCCCAGCCCCATATTATTTCTATTTTATAAATAAAATAACTTGCCTAGAGTCAAACAGCTAGTAAGTGTTAAGAGTTAGGATTCAAACCTGGCATTCTATATACCAGATTTAAAATAAGTTCTTTTCTCTCTCACAGTTAACTGCCAGCAAGAAGGAATCAGCTTAAGCTGTTGATAAAGATGTCTATATCACAGATACTCTCTCAGTTTTATTTTGGACAAGTGGTATTGAGGAAAGGCAGACACATTGACTTGAAGCCTCAATCATTGCTAGTTTGGGATGCTTAAGGGGTCAGTTGACAGAACCATTTAAGAAAGGGGTGAAGGGAAGGGAAGAATTTTAACATAGAATTATATCTATGTGTGGAAGACTTATAGCTGTGAATGTTGGATGTCATTGTAAATATGTTTTAAAGATCGCCTTAAAAAGTAATACACAGCTGGGTGTGGTGGTGCATGCCTGTAATTCTAGCTTCTGGGAGGCTGAGACAAGAGAATCTCGAATTCAAAGTCAGCCTCAGCAAAAACAAGGCATTGAGCAACTCAGTGAGACCCTGTCTCTAAATAAAGTACAAAATAGGGCTGGGGATGCAGCTCAGTGGGCAAGTGCCCCTCAGTTGTTCAATCCCTGGTACAAAAAAAAAAAGCAATACATAGACTGGGAATGTAACTCAGTGGAGAATGTGTATTTAGTACATACAAGGCTCTGGGTTCTATCCCTAGCCCTAGGGGAAAAAGCGTCTGTGATAAGTGACAAAATAACTATCCCAGTATTAAATATATGTATGCTTGTGGTTCAGGATAAGATTTCTATCAGCAATTTCAATTTTGGATTCAAAATTGAATCCTTAAACAATTGTTGTGTAAGGATTGTTCTTTAAACAAGTTGAGGTGATGCTATGCTTTGAAAAACTATTGAATTTAAGTAGTAGTTCTGGCCAAAGCTATTTATAATGAGTTTGAAGGGAACTTATTTTTTGTGGAATATGAGAGTGAGATACAAATAGTATTTCTAAGTTAATATTTTATTTATGAAAATGTTATGAGTAGCTAAATATTCCAATAAACATTAGGTTATTTTATCTATATCCCCAAAATTATTCATATGGGCCCTCAAAACACTTTTTTAGATCTTCAAGGTCATTTATGTTTAGACATTGGCTATAGACTGTCTCCAGAACCCAGGTTCTTACCTGTATATGGAATTTAAGTTATTGGATAGAAATGAAATTCTTTGTCATCTGATATGTAATCCTTTTTAAGACTGGATTGGGTGAAAAAAACCCCATCTTTTTTGTTTATTTTGTTTTTTGGTAATGCTGGAGATCAAACCCAGGGCCTCATGTCTGCTAGGCAAGTGCTTTACCACTGAGCAACATCCAGAACTTAGAAACTTTTTACCTTGTGTTTTTCATAGCCCCAAAGACCCAGCGCAGAAGCAGAAGAACTCACCTCCATCGAGTGTAAGTAGCCAAACGATAACCAAGGAGAATAACAGAAATGTCCATTTGGAACACCCAGAGCAGAATCCTGGTTCATCAGCGGGTGACACTTCAGCAGCGCATCAGGAGGTTTTAGGAGAAAACTTGATAGCCACAGCCCTGTGTCTTTCTGGCAGTGGGTCTCAGTCTGATTTGAAGGACTTGGCCAGCACAGCAGGAGAGGAGGGGGACACAAGCCTCCAGGAGAGCCTCCATCCAGTCACTCGGTCTCTTAAGGCAGGGTGCCATACAAAGCAGCTTGCCTCCGGGAATTGCTCTGAAGAGAAATCCCCACAAGCCTCCATCCCAAAGGAAGGTAGCAGGGACACAGGCTTGGATTTCCGACCTGTAGTGCCTCCAGCAAATGGGGTTGAAGGAGTCAGAGTGGATCAGGATGATGATCAGGATAGCTCTTCCCTGAAGCTTTCTCAGAACATTGCTGTACAGGTCAAGTATCAAGTTTCTACTACTAAAATGGAATTTGGGGTTTTTTTTTTTGTTTTTTTTTTGAGGGTAGGAGATAGTTCATATTTGGTGGAGAGCTATGCTGTCTTGTTTTTTATTTTTTTGTTTTTATTTTTTGTTTTTGCTACCACCCATCATACTGTTTTCATACAATGTCATGCAATGACTTCATTCTGCTGTTCTATAAATAAGAAAGCCAGTAGCCAGTGTTTAATTTTATGGTAAATAGGAGCTTTATGAGCTACATATAATCAATCACTGAGTGATTGATGAGTATAGGTCATTAGCATTCATATTTCCCATCTTTGTCCTTACAGGAGGAATCCTTGTTAATTCTCTGACCTACATCTTAAGAAGTACAGTGTATCCTGCTTTATAGTGACTAGTGTGCTTTGTTGTAGGAGGAAGTATGGGCACAGTAGATTCTCATCTCAGATTTGAGGCTTTCTCAGTCCAAATTTGGGTCTTATTCAGGTTATTTTGTGGGATAAATGATTGATGTAATGTGGATGTTGGTGTTCATTTGCCAGAACTACATTGCTTTTCACTGTGAAAGTGATAAGGGGACAGAGCAGAAAGTTTGCTTCTTAGTTGTTTGTGGCAGATTTCTAAGTGAAAGTACTGGAATAATTCTGCCTTTTTTTAAAGAGAATCTGAAAAATTCTGAATATATTATTTCTTTCTTTTTAGACTGATTTTAAGACAGCAGATTCAGAGGTGAACACAGATCAAGATATTGAAAAGAATCTGGTAAGTATTAAAAGTGTCATTTTACAATTGCTTTAAGGTAAGAATTTGGAACAGTGACAACAGCCTTATATGGATTTTTTTCCCCCTGTAATGCTAGGGATGAAACCCAGGGCTTTATTCATGCTAGGCAAATATTCTAACACTGAGCTATATCCCTAGCCCCAAGCATACTTACCTTTAAAGTGTACTCAACTACTAGTAAAAGATACTTTTCAGTACAAGTAAATTTGACTTTCAGTGTCAGATAGGAAAGAAATTTAGAAGTGCTAATATATTAAAGAATATATCCGGATAGATTTTCTGAGGAATTGCTGTTTTTTAAAATAAATGATGTCTATTTATAAATTCAACTTTGGATGATAGTGCATTATTCTTTAAACTTTTTGAGATTCATCTGAAACCCCTAAAAATTAAAATGGTCTAATAAGTTATCTATAAGAAAATATGGTCACCAATAAAGCAGATTCTCTGATGATCAAAAAAAAAAGTGTCATTTTATATGACACCATTAAAGTATAAAAATCTAGAAACATTTTATCTCAGTTGAAAAAAGTGCAGGAATCTCCTTGTTCACTCCAAAGAGTGTAATAGCTCTACATATATTTAAAGTGTGTGTGTGTGTGTGTGTGTTTTTCAGTGCATCCTCCTCAAATCCAAATTCTTTCTTTCTTTTTCTTTTTCTTTTCTTTTTTTTTTCCCTTTCTTGGTACTAGGGATTTAACCCAGGTGTGCTTTACCACCAAGCCATACTAGCAGCTTTTTAAATTTTGAGACAAGGTCTTGCTGAGTTGCTCAGGGCCTCTCTCAGTTGCTGAGGCTGATTTTGAACTTGCAGTACTCCCCCTCAGCCTCCTTAGTTGCTGGGGATTACACAGGTGTAATGCCCAGCTTAGTCTAAATCTTTCCAGGTGAAATGTTCCTACTTTGTTTTGTTTTGTTGTTGCTGGGTTTGTTTGTTTGTTTTAGCATTCTTCTTTTTATGATATTTTTTCCAGTCTTTAATCTTTGTATTCTGGTTACTTTCATTTAGATATGTTCCATTTTATCAGTCTTTCTTTTAAAATCTGATGGACACAGTACAGTACCTTTATTTTTATGTAAAAAAATGAACCAAATGAAATAGTTCAGATTATAGCATAATTAGTCCACAGTAGAATGAGTCTCAGTCTCTTATTCTAGACACTGTTTCTTAAGCTTACATTGACTAATTTTGGTAATCTTGTCACATTATTGAGCTTCCCGTCAAACTCTTGTCAAGTTTTTTTTTTTTTTTTAATGTACTATTTACATGTATCTTTTCCATTTTATTCCTTGGTAATTAGTTTTTAAATCTTAGAGGACTTTACTTTTACAAATCCCTGGGGTCTTGCTATATTTGCCAGGCTGGTCTCCCAGGCTCAAATGATCCTCCTGCCTCAATCTCCTAACAATCTGGGAAAGATACCCTAGGATCAGGAAGAAGAGGTCTTGAGGGTAAGATGTGTTTCTTGAAAGAACAGCAATATAGAAAGGAAAAGTATTTGGTGCAAACTAATGCTTTTTTCCTGTGTTATTCTAAAGATGTATCATAGAGAACTGGAAACAGTGGAATATGCCTGTAATCTCAAGAGTCTTGGGAGACTAAGGCAGGAGGATCACAAGTTCAAGGCCAACCTTGGCATTTAGTGAGGGCCTAAGCAACTTAGTGACACCCTGTCTCAAAATGTCTGGTGATGGGCCGGGATTATGGCTCAGTGGTAGAGCACTTGCCTAGCATGTGTGAGGCACTGGGTTTGATTCTTAGCACTGTATATAAATAAATATAAAGTCCATTGACAATTAAAAAAAATTAGGAAAAAAAAAAAAGAAAAATGTCGGATGGTGCAGCTCAGTGGGAAAGCACCTGTGAGTTCAATCCCCAGTACCAAAAAAAAAAAGAAAAAAAAATGTATTATAAAAAGATGTATTATGAGTGAAGGAGGTAAAGGAAATGAGCTATGGTTAAAAAAGAAACGAATCCTTTAATCTTCTGGTTCACTTATTGGTTCTAAAACTTTGTTAACAAAGTTAACAATGTTTATGTCCTCTTTTAGAATCTTTTGAAAACTTTTAATTGTCATCAAAGTAAAATGCACATATACACCCCAGTTTCAGAGAGTTCAAAGATCCCCCGGGGTTATCCACAGACCTTACATTCATAATCTCTGCAAAGATGTGATGTTGAGGAATCAGTTCTTTGGAGTGATGTGGTCACATTTTGGTACATGGACTGAGGACTGGTTTATCCCAAAGTTAACCATCTTGAGAGCCTGTTTTTTTTGTGTGTGTGTGTTTTTTTTAATATTTATTTTTTAGGTGTAGATGGACACAACACAATGCCTTTATTTTTATGTGGTGCTGAAGATCGAATCCAGGTCCCGCTCGTGCTAGGCGAGCGCTCTACCACTGAGCCACAATCCCAGCCCGAGAGCCTGTTTTTTATGATGATAATACAATATAGGTTTTCTAATATTCACTTTCAGGAACTTTATTTTCTTGAAAAATAATCATCCTTTAGAGAACAAATTCAGCTTAATACTCTTGGTTTAATTTTTACAAGAACTACCTTATACCAAATTTGTTTTAAATTGACTCTTTTAAGTTTTAATGTTCATTTGAGAGGTGACCATTGCTTTCCTTAATTTGCTGATGAGAGGGAGGCAGAGCCATATTGTGGTCCTCACAATCATCACTTCTAATCCCTAGTTTATGTGAGCTTTCTGAGTCGATCATTCTGAATATGAGGTTTCCCAGACTTCTTTAGTGGATGTGTCAGTTGTCAGTGCTAATGATTGGTAAGCTTCCTATTCTTTGAGTAGGTGATCTGTTCTTTGTTCTGGCGTATTACTTTTTCTCTCTCCTAATGGAGGATAAAATATCTCCTTTCTCTTATCCCTAGTAACAGTGGTGGGCAAACATTTTCTTTTTTTTTTTTTTTTAAAGAAAGAGTGAGAGAGAGTGAGAGAGAGACATTTTTAATATTTATTTTTTAGTTTTCGGCAGACACAACATCTTTGTTTGTATGTGGTGCTGAGGATCGAACCCGGGCCGCACACATGCCAGGCGAGCGTGCTACCGCATGAGCCACATCCCCAGCCCAAACATTTTCTTTAAAGGACCAGATAGGTTCTGTGGATTGTGTGGCATTTATTGTAATCTTTCCACTTTGCTGTTATAGTTTGAAAGCAGTCTTTAAACCAATGGGCATGGCTTTGTTCTAATAAAATTTACTTATAAAAACATGTGATGAGGGGCTGGGGATATAGTTCAGTTGGTAGACTGCTTGCCTTGTATTGGGTTCAATCCCGAGCACCACAAAAACCAAAAAGCATAAAACATGCGATGACTGGATTTGTCCCACATGCCATAGATTGCCAACCCCTGCTTTGTAGCAGTGTTGTATAACAGAAATTTCTGTAGTGGTAGAAATGTTCTGTTAACCTAGTTGTTTGGTGTAATAGCCACTAATCATATTTGGCTTTTGAGTATTTGAGGTGTGCCTAGGTAATTGAGGGTCTGTTTGTTTCTATTTTATTATTTTGATTAATTTTACCTATCCACATCTGGCTAGTAGCTACTATATTGACATCACAGCTTTAGAACTCTGTATAATGTCTTGGTTAGGCATTTAGTGATTGTTTCATACGTTTAAATTGGAAAATAAACTTGTTTTTTCCAATAGGACAAAATGATGACAGAGAGAACCCTATTGAAAGAACGTTACCAGGAAGTCCTGGACAAGCAGAGGCAGGTGGAGAATCAACTCCAAGTGCAATTAAAGCAACTTCAGCAGAGGAGAGAAGAAGAAATGAAGAATCACCAGGTAGTTTACTTATTAAAATTTTTGAACTGGAGATATAACTCAGTGGGAGAGTATTTGTCTTGCATTTGCCAAAAAGAGAACTGAGGTTGTGGCTTAGGTGTAGAGCGCTTGCGTGGCATGTGCGAGGCCCTGGGTTCGATCCTCAGCACCACATAAAAATAAATAAATAAAGGTTTTGTGTTCAGCTACAACTAAAAAATAAATATTAAAAAGAAAAAAATCAGGGCTGGGGCTGTAGCTCAGTGGTAGAGTGCTTGCCTGGCATGCATGAGGCACTGGGTTCGATCCTCAGCACCACATAAAAATAAATAAGTAAAATAAAGGCATTCTGTCCATCTACAACCACAAAAAAAAAAAAGAAAAAGAAAAAAAATCAAAGAGTAAAGCAACAGTTCTGATCAGACTTTTTTTTTAATATTTATTTTTCAGTTTTAGGTGGGCACAATATTTTTATTTTTATGTGGTGCTGAGGATTGAACCCAATGCCTCATGCACGCTAGGTGAGCACTCTTATCACTGAGCCACAACCTCAGCCCCTGATCAGACTTTTAAGTTTGTTTCTTAGTAGAAAAAGAAAAGCGATATTTACTTTTTAATGGTTGTCATAGAAGTTTAAGAATAAAAACAATCCTGTTATCCAGGGGATAAATCTGATTTTAGTTCAGAGAGGAAAAGATTATTTATTTAATATATTTTGTTGACAGCTTATGTTATTTGGAAAAATACATTCATAAATAGATTAAAAATCTATATATAAAAACTGGAAAAAAGTTGAACGTAGAAGAAAATTTAGGGGAGTATTTATAAAACCTCAAATTTTAAGAGGTCACTTTAAGCAAGGCATAAAACCCAGAAGCCATAATTAATTAATTAATTAATTTAATTACATATAATTAAAAATACCAAGTGATGTAAAAATTAGTTGAAAGATTGTTAAACTGAGTGGAACTATTTTTAGCAAAAAAAATGAATATATACATACATATATGTGTATGTATATATATATATATATATGTACATACCTGTGTGTGTATATATGTGTGTATGTGTGTGTGTGTATATGTATTTAGCACATCTGACCAGATATAATTTCTGACATTCTGAAGATAGCTCACATTCATGGTGAAAGTCAATCTAGAGAAAAAATCAGGAAAGGTTATTATGTTATTTTCCTATTGCTCATGTAACAAATCATTATGAGTTTAGCAGCTTAAAGTCTACATTAAGCTGGGTATGATGGCTTACACCTGTAATCCCAGCGGCTCTGAAGGATGAGGCAGGAGAATCTCGAGTTCAAAGCCATCCTCAGCAAAAGTGAGGCACTAAGCAACTCAGTGAGAACCTGACTCTAAAGTTCAAAATATAGCTGGGGATGTGGCTCAGTGATTGAGTGCCCCCGAGTTCACTCCTTGGTACCCAAAGGGGAAAAAAATGTCTACATGGAGTGTCACTGGGCTAAAGTCAAAGTACTAGTAGGACTGTGTTCCTTTCTGAGAGTTCTAGGGCCAACTCTTCCTTGTCTGTAGCTTGTAAAGCCTGCCTTCATTCTTTGACTTAAGGGCCCCTTCATCTTGAAAGCAACAACAGTGTCTCTTTGATCTTTATCTCCTGTGCTCTGACCACAACTGGTAATTGTTCTCTACTTTGAAGGATTTAGGTGATTATATTAGGCCCACCCAGATAGTCCAGGTTAATCTCCCTATTTTAAGGTCCTTACCATAGTTACATCTTCAAAGTCTCTTTTGCTATGGAAGGTAACATAATAAATAGGTTTTAGGGATTAGAACATGGATATCTTGGGGGAGGGTATTATTTTGCCTACTATAGTTATAAATAGTAATTCATAGAAGAGGAAAAGCAAAATGATTGTAAATAATTGGAAAGAAGCTCAGACTCACAGGTACTCATTCAGAAAATATTTTTAGAGTGTTTGATGTAAGTTTTGGACATTTAGTAATGAACAAAACATTAATCAAATAAGCATTCACTGAATGCTTATTTTAGTTGAAATCAAACAGTAAAAACAATAAAGAATGCCAGGCACGAAACACATGCCTGTAATCCCAGTGGCTCAGGAGGCTGAGGCAGGAGGATTGTGAGTTCAAAGCCACAAAAAAGTGAGGCTCTAAGCAACTCAGTGAGACCCTCTCTCTAAATAAAATACAGAATAGGGCCGGGGATTTGGCTCAATGGCCAGGTGCTCCTGAGTTCAATCCCTGGTATAAAACAAAGAATGAAAGTTAGGGAAGTTAATATTATTGGATACTATTCTTTACTCTCCCAAGTGATGGGCTAAAATGAAATAAGTTGTCAAGCATGAGGTAAAGTGAACTCTTGTAGACATGATTAGTAAGAGTGTGAATTATGATGACCTCATTAGTTATTAGGAATTGTCAGTTAAAATTTAAAATATGCTTCTACTTTGACCAGTCTCATTATTGGGAGTCCATTCTACAGGCACAAATTTATGTATGAAAGTATAGACATACAGAATGTTTATTGCAGTTTAAGCAAGGCACAAAACCCAGAATTTAATTATCTATAATTAAAAATACCAGCTGGGTGCAGTGGCGCATGCCTGTAATCCCAGCAGCCTGTGAGGCTGAGACTAGAGGATCATGAGTTCAAAGCCAGCCTCAACAACAGTGAGTCCCTGTCTCTAAATAAAAATGCAAAATAAGGCTGGGGAAGTGGATTAGTGGTTGAGTGCCCTTGAGTTCAATCCCTAGTACAAAACAATATAATAACCTGCTGAGAGAGAGAAAATATTTTTAGCACATCTCAAAAAAAAATTTTTTAAAACACCTTTTTTTATACCTTTATTTTATTTTTATGTGGTACTAAGGATCGAACCCAGTGTCTCACGCATGCTAGGTGAGTACTTTACCACTGAGCCAAAACCCTAGACCCTCATAAAAAAAATTAATGTTTATGACATTCTGAAGATTTCTACAAATTCATGGTAAAAGTAAAAAAAAAAAAAATCTAGAGAAAAATCAGGAAAGATTTTTTTGTGTGATAAGAAGTAAAATTACAAAAAAGTTGGAATAAACCCAAAGGTCTTTTAACAGTTCATCAGGATAAATTGGATATGTCTATGTGATGTCCTATTATGCAGCTAGGTACTTTTGAATTATATCTGTAGTTATTGATGTATGTTGTCTAAGTGGAAAAAAGCACAATGTAAAATAATGAATATAAAATAACTTCATTAAAAGAAGAAAAACGGGATGGAGGATATAATTCAGTGGTAGATTGTGTGCTTTGCATGATCAAGACTCTAGGTTTGATCCCCAGGAATGCTTTAAAAAAAAAAAGCCAAAGAATACATATATAAGTTACATGTGTATTTCTTTGAGAATTGAGAAAATGTGCAGTCATAATAAGAACAGTTAACACATTGATTGCCCTTATGGGTGGAAGTGGTATGAACTTGGGGGTAATTTAACTTCAATACTTTTTTATTGTTTGACTTCTTATTTGCTTCTGTTAAATAATAAAAAAGTCAAATAAACAGAAAACCCATACATATAACAAGTGGAACATGAGTAGAACTGTAACAAAACAAAACAAGACCAATTTGTTGGATGCAACAAACTCCCTCCTACAGCAAGAATGCCTTTCCCAGCAGTCTTGAGGGGTGTTCATTTGACATTTGAGCACCAAAAATGGAGAACTTATTGCTTCACAAGGCAGTGTGTTTCATTTTTGAACGGTGTGATTATTATACATTTTTTTCCTGTTGAGTTGAAGTCTGTGTTCCTGTAACTTTCTCCCTGCAGTCTGAATTCTGACTTTTGGAGTTGCTCAACAACCAGATTTCTTTCAATTCAATTTGAATCCACTAAAATGAATATGTATATGTGATTGTTGAACACAACCTTCAGATCAAAAGAACTAATTTATTTCCTTCTTTATTTGTGTGTGACTGTAATTTTGTGGGATTTAGGAGATATTAAAGGCTATACAGGATGTGACAATAAAGCGAGAAGAAACAAAAAAGAAGATAGAGAAAGAAAAGAAGGAGTTTTTGCAGAAGGAGCAGGATCTGAAAGCTGAAATTGAGAAGCTGTGTGAGAAGGGCAGAAGGTAATTAATGTGCGTATGTGTACATGTGTGCATATGGGGCCACTTTCATTTGTGTTGTAGTTTCTTTCAGTCTGGTTTTTATTTGAAAAATAAGCACACAAATAAAATTCTCCAATGATTTAGCATTCTCAGTATTCCGTTAGACTTAATAGAAAAGAGGTACCAGTATTTTTTAATAACATTAAAAATTCATAAAGTTAAGGACTAGGGTATAGCCCAGTGGTAGAGCACCTATGTACAGAGCCCTTGGTTAAATCTCTAGCACCAGAAAGAAATTATAGCAGTTAATTATTGAGTTCTGTATATGATCAAAATCTTGATGTGTGAGCCAGGCATAGTGGTGCAGGTCTGTAATACCAGCTACTTGGGAGGCTGAGGCAGGAGAATCACACATTTGGGACTGGCTTACTTACCCCAAGGCCAACACAGGCTTCATAAATGAAGGTTCAGCTGTGTGAGAAATCCAAGGGAGTTTTGAATTAAAGAGACAGGCTCTAATTACCTTTAAACCAGCTCCAGGGCGGCTTCTCCTAGCTCCAGCCTCAAGCTACCTATTATGGTAGCGAGGTTTTCTGAAGAGGCGAGAGAGAACATGCCAGGGAGTGGACTTTTATTGGGGAACAAAAAATTCTGGGGAAAATCCCTTCCAATGAAGATTAAGGGGGTCAGTGTCCCAAGGTCTGGTGCGATGATTGGGTCTTCAGGGTAGTGGCCAGACACGCCTCCACACAGACAAGCCCTTGGACCTGAGAAGGGTGGGGAAAGCTCTGGACACAAAGATGTGTCTAAGCGCCTCTCGCCCAGCCAGGGAGGTAACTCAAATCACATCACGTGCGAGGATGGCCTCTCACAGGCTTAGGCAACCTAGCAAGACCCAGTTAAAGGTGTTATAAACTAAATTGGTTCTTATTATTTTTGATGAGAAGTAAGTGACAATTAATGTTGTTTTTTATGTATTATGTTACTATTTACTCCCCAAGATTTTCTCATTTTCTTTAGTTTTTAGCTATTTGACTTTCGAGTGTGGTTCTCTTCATATTTTTTATGTTGAGAATTTTCTGAGTTTCTTAATCTATAAAGTTGTGTCTCTTACCAAAATTGTTAAATTTTTGTGGCATAATTTTCAGTTATTTTCTCTGCCCCATTTTTGTCTTTTTCTCCTGGACTCCATGTCCACATGTGTAAGACTTTGATATTGTCCTACAGCTCAACAAGTCTCTTCTTGCTGTTTCTTTCCAGTCTTTTAGTACCAGGGATTGAACCCAAGGGCAGTTAGCCACTGAGCCACATCCCCACTCCTTTTTTATTTTTTATTTTAAGACAAGATCTTGCTAAGTTGCTGAGGCTGGCTTCGAATCTGTGGTCCTCCTGCCTCAGCCTCCCAAGTTGCTGGGATTATAGGCATGTGCCACCATGTCCAGCTCTTTCCAATCTTTTTAATTTTCTTTCTTATATTGTATAATTTCTATTGTATTTTTAATTTACTTGCTTTTCCTTATATCATTTTCATTCTTATGATTAAGCCCATGCAGTGAATTTGAATTTCATATTTCCAGTCTTGTTATTTCTCAGTTCTGTCATTTCAGTTTAGTTCTTTTTTTAAATGTGTTTATTTGTTTAATTTTATGTGATTCTGAGGATCGAACCTGGTGCCTCACATGTGCCAAGCAACTGCTCTACTACAGAGCCACAACCCTAACTCTATTTTTTTTTGTAGTTTCTCTGCCAAAAATTATTATTTGTTTATTCCCTTGTGAGCATATTTTCTTTTGTCCCTTCATGTAGTTAAAATGGAGGCTTTAGAATATTTTTCTGCTAATTCCAGCATCTTGGTCATCTTGAAATTCCTATCCATTGATTGCCTTTTTTCTTAAACTGGAGTCAGCAATCAAAAGTATTATCTGAAGGCTGGGAATGTAGCTCAGAGGTGAAGTACTTGCCTAGTATGCACAAGGTCCTGGGTTTCATCCCCAGCAAAAGCAAAACATAAAAACCCCATTTTTTCTGCCCAGGTATGGTGCACACACCTATAGTCCCAGCACCCAGAAGGCTGAAGCTGGAGGATCACTTGAGCCTGGGAGAACAGCCTGGGCAACATAGCAAGACTACTCTATCTTCATTAAAAAAAAAAAGAGAGAGAGAGAAATGTCATCCTAAGAAAACAGACACAGAATATATGTGATTTTTATTCACATAGAATTCTAGAGAAGATATAATTATAGTAAGGAAATGTATTTCCCTGGGTGTCAGCAGTTTAGGGTGAAAGGAAGGAATTGACTGCTTTCTAGTAAATATTTTAGGCTTTTCAGATCAGTCTTTGCCCATTAAACAACAACAGCAACAAAATCCTTTGTCTTCTGATTGAGTTATGAGAGATCTTTATATATTTTCTGTATGAATTCTTTTATCAGGTATGCGTTTTATAAATATTTTCTACTAGTTTGTAGCTTGCTTTTGCATTTTGTAATAGTGTCTCTTGAAGAACAAAAGATACAATTTTGATGAAGTCCAGTGTACTGCATTTTTTCTTTTGTGGTTCAAGCATTTTGCATCTTCCTAACCCAAAGTCACCTTCTTTGAGAAAGTTTATAGTTTTAACCTTTACATTTAGGTCTACAATCCATTTGAGTTTATTTTTTAGTATGGTACACCTAGGGCTAGAGTATCATATGGATGTATATTTGTTCCAACACCCTATGTTCAAAAGACTATGCTTTCCCCATTCAATTACCTTGATACTTTTGTGGAAAATAAATTGACCACTGTTGAGGAAATACACTAAATTTTTTTTGGGGGGGCGGGTACCGGCAAGTGAACTCAAGGGCACTCGACCACTGAGCTACATCCCGGCCTTATTTTGTATTTTATTTAGAGACAGTGTCTCACTGAGTTACTTAGTGCCTTGCTTTTGCTGAGGCTGGCTTTGAACTCACAATCCTCCTTTCTCAGCCTCCCGAGCTGCTAGGATTACAGACATGTGCCACAGTGCCCAGTTGTAAATACAGTTTAGAGTTAGCTGCTCGGGAGATGAGGCAGGAGGGTTACAAGTTTGAGGCCAGCCTGGGCAACTATCAAGACCCCTTTTCAAACAAAAAAGGAATAAAAAGCTGGGAATATAGCTTGAATAGCATATGTGAGTTCATTTCCCAGTAACACACACGCACACATGCACAAACACAAGAAGAAGAAGAAAGAAAATCTTCCCCCAAACCAGAAAACCACTCTGAAAAGATGATAGAGAAAGAAAACAGTTATAATTGAATAGCTGTTAAATCTGAATGTGGGGCTGGGGATATAGCTCAGTAGAGTGTTTGCCTTGCATGCACAAGGTGCTGGATTCAATCCCCAGTACCACAAAAAAAAAAAAAAAAGAAAGAAAAAAGATGAAGAAGAAAAGAAAAATCTGAATGTGATATACATCACAAGTAAACCTCTGACAGATGGCAAAGACCAGGATCTTACCCCCTTATATAACCAAGGACAAACAATGTATTACAATGCTTTCAAGATAAGAAGTAAGGCTGGGCACAGTGGCTCACGCCTGTAATCCCAGCAGCTCTGGAGGTTGGGACACTTAGACAGGAGGATCACCAGTTCAAAGCCAGCCACAGCAAAATTGAGCCGCTAAGCAACTCAGTGATATTTAGTATCTAAATAAAATACAAAATAGGACTGGGTATGTGGCTCTCAGTGGTCAGTGCCCCTGAGTTCAATCCCCAGAACCAAAATAATAAATAAGTAAGTAAGTAAATAAACAAACAGTAGTCCTTAAGTAAGAGGACTTGACAACACTTTTTGTCAAGAATGCTTCACCCAATTTATGGTAATTGGGGAGATGCCTTGTGTAGTTTTACTTGGAGAAACAGATTGCTTTATCATAGGAGATAATTTTGTAAATTGGAGTAAGGTGCCCTCCTTCTTTCCCTTGGGATCTGGGAGACAGGGGCTGTTTCTTTGGATGTGTGCAATTTAAAGGGATGGCTTCTAGGTACTTGAAACATTCCTGATTTGTGTGACTATTTTTAGAGTTTATAATATACATACAACAGGCAGAAAATTTGAAAGAAAAGGTTGCGGGGTCCGGTGGGGGAGATTAGTTAGGGGAGAATTTCTTCCATAATTTTCAAAAGGGATAATTAAAGCCCTTATTTTTCTTTTATATTTGCCCTTACACATACAAGTGTGGCTCTATTTCTGTATTTTATTCTGTTATGTTGGTATATTTCTTTCCTCCTTTGCCTTGTGACTTTTTACATCTTAAAATCAAATGCATCCTCCAACTCTGTTCCTTTATTTTTTTTTTTGGTACTGGGGATTGAACCCAGGGTTACTTTACCACTGAGCTATATTCCTACCCCTTTTAAAAATTTTTATTTTGAGACAGAGTCTTACTAAATTGCTGAGGCTGGCCTTGAACTTGAAATTCTTCTGTCTCAGCCTCCAAGTAGCTGGGATTACAAGTATGTATTATGAATGCCTGACTTTTTTTTTTCCAAAATTTTTTGAATATTCAAGATACTTTTTATTACTTTAAAATCATATTATCAGGGCTGGGGATGTGGCTCAAGTGGTAGCGCGCTCGAATGGCATGCATGCAGCCTGGGTTCGATCCTCAGCACCACATACAAACAAAGATGTTGTGTCTGCCAAAAACTAAAAAACAAATATTTAAAAAAATTCTGTCTCTCTTTAAAAAAAATCATATTATCAATTTCTACAAAAAACAGTGTGCTTAATATTTGTTTGGATCTGTATTAAATCTTCAGATCATTTTGGGAAACTGACGTACAACAATATTGAGTCTTCTATTTAGTCATATAGAAGATTACTTTTTTTTTCCTTCTTTAGTTTCTCATGGCAATGTTTTGTAGATTTGAGAATCAGAAAGATAGTCCTTACTCTCTGTACTGTTCCCTCAAAATTGTAGTCATTTTGGATTCTCTTGATCTCTGCCTTTGTCTCCTTAATTCAGCAACAGTGCCAGCTCTGTATTCACCCTT